ATTTAATGAAAACGTAGTACAGTTAAAATTTATATTAAATGGAATTAGTTAAACTTTAAAGTGCTTTCTAACACACTTCAGAATACTTAAGTACATCTTTATAAGCATAATTATTTCTATTGTCTTTGAAATACATATACTGCCCAATACTGACAAACGTGTAATGTTAAGCTAAAATATATTTTAATGTAATTTCTATTCAAATTTGCATGTCAAGTACTAAATCATATTTGTAATTACACATTTGTGATGACAAAGTTGCAATTTAGCACTTTTAAAATATAATAACTTACAATATATTCAATATATTCCAGTTAAAATCATAACCAAGTTCTTTACATGTGCTTTAGTTAGTCAACACATCAAAATAAGCGGGCATCTTTAAAGTATGAGAAAAGATTATGAAAACATATTGACTGAAACGCTACAATTAGGTGCCCTTTTTTCACAAGGATTCTCATCATCACTTTATGAAATATTATTACATTACGAGATTAGGAAACCACAAAGATACCGAAGCTTATGAATCTTTATGCATACTCAGGAACTGAACAAGACAAGCAATGTAACATTTACAATTTTTTCATATGCATGCTCATATTTACTGTGGGGTTGTTAACAGATGCTCCTGTTGTTTGTTGACATGCTGAGAATGCACAGACACTTGCTGACTATAATGCCACTTTACGAGATGTGATTCCATTAGACATAGATCTGTTTCTTCTGATAATGTCTGCCTCACTGAAGGCAAATGTCTCCCCTGTGCTGACTGTAACAGTCCCCTACAACAGTTGATGCTCAAATATAGCTCGAAACGAGCCACGGAGGGTCATTACGGCTACTGCCGAGCTCTATGACTATGAGATGAAGAAACTATCATATCGGTGTACCAGGAACACATAAATCTTTGGAAAACCCTTGGGTGAGACCATTACTGCTGACTGAACTGCACTGCAACAGCGCTCTGGTCTCTGCCAAAGAATGGGCAAGGTTTATCGGTAGATTCAAGCCCTATGAGACTGTGGTCACATGACAGCTTGGCCCCGAGGAGTCCTGATGCAAAGAGCATCAGTTTCCTTACTCAGCACACACCATAAGTCTTAACCTAGACAGTCTTAAAATGTTATGTTGCTCAGAGTCTTCTGAACTACAGCCTCGCATTTGTCTTACACCCTACTCAAGAGAATGAGTGAGACAAAGAGAGGGAGATGTGGACAATGTGGGCAATTTGTTATGTAATGTATGTATGTTTTATTAATCAGTTCAGACAACTCTTAAAGGAATAGTTCTCCCAAAAATGAAAATCCTGTAATTTTCTCATTCTCATGTGGTTCCAAACCCATTTGATGTTTTGCTTAGGAACATGAAAAGATAATGTTGGAAATACAAAGCACTTTTATATACAACAACAGTTTATAGGGAGAAAAACTACCCGAGAAATTAATGCTTCTTTTTAGCTACTTCTTTTCAAATAACTGATTGATCTGATTCAAAAATCTGATTCATTCAGTTGTATTGTTATTGTTCACTAAAACTAAAAATTTGAATAAATCAGAAATAAAATAAAATAAAGTATAAATATGATATGAAAAATGTAAACTTAAAAAATGTAAACAAACATTAGAAATGTTGCCTTAGCAAATAACTGAAATAAAATCAGTGTTGGCTGAAGTACTAAAATAACGAAATCTGAAATTAAAATACATTTAAATCTAAGTTTAATTATTTTTTAAAATTACTAAAACTTAAATTAAAATTAAAAAGCTAATTCAAAATATTAATAAATACTACAAAAGTATATAAATCAAACAGGTTTTATACATGTCTGGTTTGTAAGAACATATTACTATATACTATATAAACTTATAAATAACATACATATGTGAAGCTTCTTGAAAATACCTCATTTCATATTCCACAGAAGAAATGAAGTCCTATGAGTTTGGAACAAGTTTTTATTTCTGGATCAACTGTCTCTTTAAGGGCCCCAGAAGCAGTAGTACTTGCTCTCTCTCCTCTCTCAAAGATACACTGAACTTTAACAAGCCCAGGATTTATGTTTTAAAAAAGAAGTACAAAGCAAATGTATGCACCAGCAAGAAGAACAAGAGTCTAAACTGTAGCTCTGTTTCACTAAAACAAAAAGGCCCTGATCAGCACAGCTGGCTTTAACGTGGTGATTAACCTAATGCTAATTCCACAGATAATATAAATCCAGTCCCATTCATACCATGCATTAAACACTGATTCACCATCACCATACAAATAGTACATCCACAGATCCGTGATTAGCACACATATGACTCTAAGAACAGGCAATTAAACTCTGTTTGTGTAAATCAGCTAGTCTTTATGAATTCATATGTTTCATTAATTCTAAATGTCTGCTTCATCATCATAATTTAGTATTAGCTGGATTTGGCTAATGCAGTACAACAGAATACCACACAATGCACCATATTGTAGCACTGTGAGATAAATCCACAAACAACACAAGACTTTCTCTCCATCTGCTGTCATTTGTGCACACAGAGAGAAAGAAGTATGACAGAAACGGTGCAGAACAACCAAGCAATAAACCAACGGCAAGCACTGCGCTACTACACATCAGGAAATGATCAGCACTGCGACTCACTACCACTAAAACTGATCTGAAGCCAGCTGTGCTTTATAAGCTGGAGTCTGCCAAATGAAACGACCTTTAGTCAGCTTTCCAATTAAAACTTTAAAGCTGTAGTGTGTACTACTGTCTGTGCTACTAGTGGCACTCATTGAAAGTGTAAAAATGAAAAATCACACCACTGATTGAGTCACAAGTGTCACACTGCTTAAATAAACAGAAATTTGAAAGAAATAAATCTAAAAAACATTAGTACATTTTATAAATAAATAAATGCTGGTTTGGTTTGGCTAGATAGATAGATAGATAGATAGATAGATAGATAGATAGATAGATAGATAGATAGATAGATAGATAGATAGATAGATAGATAGATAG